CCTGTATTTGACAGGTTTTTCATAGCCATAGTTATGTATAGCTGATGTACAGTCCTGATGTAAAGCGTAGCTTCCAATTGCAAACGAGCCCTAAATGTAGACGTGTATCATTTTAAGTGAGAGTGATTTAGGGATAGGTTCATGATGTAGTGATTTAGGGATAGGCTCATGATGTCTGTGGAATTTAGTCTGTCAGTTGTCTTAAGTAATAAATGGAAAATAACTTAGTTGTCTTATTTTTAATCTTTTTTTCCCTAGTTTAGGTAAAAGATATGATGAAAATTAATTCAGTTATTCAGGAACAAGAATGCTTTGCCTATGGAATTTTAAGGAAGAGCCAGTGCAGTGTATGTCTAAGTGTCCACAATTTTTTCTTTTTTGCATCCCAAACTCAGCAGCTGTCTTCCAGTATGGTGTGACTGGCTTTTGTTAAATGCAGCTGAATCTTGTCAGTTGCATGCGACAGAACTGGAGGGTATTGCCCATGCCCGCTGTCTATTCACAGAATAATGTTTCCAGCTTGATATTTTAACGAGCACTAATTTAATCATAATGCACAGAAAAGGAGATCCATGTATTGCTTAAATGCTTGAAATGTACTAAATAGTTCTTTCAATATGGGTGTAAAGCAGTAAGACGAGATGTACATTTTGTGTGTGTGTGTGTGTGTGTGTGTGTGTGTGAGACCGTGAACGGGTGTGTGCTGATGCGTTAGACCTAGCAAGCCACATTCTATCCCAGTTAATTTGTTTCATCACATGAAGCAATGTGATGGAATGTTAATGTCAGCACCCTCTTTATTTACACACTGTGGAAAAAAGGAGTAGTAATTAACACTTTGACACTCCCCCGTTGATGTGTAATTGACTGTTTCAAAGGAGCACTGGTTCATAAGCTATTGCATGCATTAAAATTACGTTTTTTATATTGCAGCTTTTTAGGACAAGGGTCAGTGACAATGCAGAAATTGCTCAATGATGCAGATTTTTTTTATTACTGCATTAAGGCTTTGACATATTGGTAAAGAATAAATGTTTCCATAAAAATCAGATTTTTTTTAATAACTTTGATTTTGAAATGACACTTGAACACTAGCTGAGTGTATTTGAGGAAAGTGATAGTTTTAGTAAAACAAAACAGAGTTTAGTGCAACCTTTTAACACATGCACCATTTTGTTTAATGAAGTGTGGTATAATTCTGAGAATATTACCCTCAAAGCTGGCACTTTGGGTATTAAAATGGTGGAAATTTCAGTGTGACTTTTTGTGGATAAAATTAACCACAAGTTTTCAGTAGTTTGTAAGTGTGTATAGAGGGTAAACGTAGTTTTTGTCTTACTTATGTCTACAGAAGTAGTATTCAAATATGCTTTTCTTAGGAGAGTGTCTCATATTCTAATTGTTTTTATGCGTTGAAGTAGCTTATCTGTTAGTTGCCAATAGAAGTACTGGTTGAAAATGCAGTTATGCTTATGTTTGAATAAATTTATGGAAGATTAATTATGTAAATACATAGTATTCATTGTATATCCTGACTTGCAATGAAGTCAGGATTATTATTGCTTTGTCTTCCCGTATCTGTATTTAATGTAGTTAATATATAGTGTATGTATTTTCATTATATCCAGTATATGCTTAAGCTTAGTAAAACCCTTAAGTATCTGTGTAACAGTGTTTTAAATGACAATCTTATTTCTAGTTATCTAATTTCTCACCTGTTTTCTGGGGTACTTAGAAAATTCTGAATGTCTTTGTGCAATGGCCGAGGTAGAGATACTGAGGCAGTTCAAACTGGAATGCTAGCAACTTGAGTCCATTGTTTCAGCTACACCTTTTAAAAAGAATGGCAGTTTGGTTTAGAAAACAAATACAATTATCTGAGGCATTCAGAAAATATTCAAAAATACTATGCTGTATTTTCTAAAATGAATAGTTTAACCACGTACTAAAGATTTTTTTGAATAACAATTTCTTGGAAAGTATCAAGCTTTAAGATAATGGATATTAATAATGGAATTTCAAAGACAGTACAGTATCAGCTTTAATTCTAACCTTTTCTGGATCATGACAAATTAAAAATCATTCTATAAAAGCTGTGCAGTGAAGGCTCCTACAGGTGGCATCAGTTTGTTACAATTTGTTGTTTTATTAATGCTGACAACTTAGGCCAGCAGTAGCATTATCAGTGTCAACTGAATCGCCCTAACATGTCCACATTTAATCTGGTATTATCAGTAGTCTTTTTCAGAAAGTTAATCAGCATCTCATTTGCATTTGTTAATTAGGGTTAATGTGTGCTAATTGATTTTTTTTTTTTTTGGATGCTTGTAGATTTCCATTAAGCCCAGTTAGGTATAGTTGCTGGTGCTCCTCATTCATTTGAGTTATGATGATCACATTTTTGTTGAATCAGTGCCAAATAGAGAGCCTGCATCATAATTATGGCTAATTAACACAACATGATGTCTTGCACTAATGTGCTTTCCTATTAGTGTATGGATGTTATAAATTCCAAACTTAAATATTTACTGAAGCAATGTGAATGTTCATAATGTCATTCCAAAACAAAATGATTGGCATTCATTTTAATGAGGTTTCCTGTGAATCTTTGTACCTCACATAAATTGATTAAGAAATGCCTTTGCTCTTCCCAGTGTCTGTCTCTTGTTCCCCCAGGCTCCTTTTTTTAAGGAAAAGGGTATGTGGTTTAGATGCACAAGCCCTTGGTTCAGTTCCCTGTGTTGTCAATCATACCATCACATAAAAGATCTAACACAAACTTTAATCTCTGTTCTTGTGCTCTGGAAGAGCACTTTCTGCCACACTGGATGCTCTAAGCATACATGTGACACACAATGCTTTTTTTGCTGTGGTGCAGTTATTCAGCATCAAAACAGATATGCTTAGGGGAAGAAAATCTTATGTTGCTGAACCATTATTGAGAAATGTTTATTTTCAAGCAACCACACAAAAATGAGTGGTGAGGTAGTAGAAAGGCTTTGACATCACCAGTCATTTATTTTCCAATTTTTGTTGCATTGCTATTCTTCCTGATGATGTAACTGGAAAAAAATTACTTGCCCCCTTACCAGGAATTACAGCTATAAGTGATTGGAAACACCTAAACTCTGTTAAGGTGATGTTTTTACTGGTTCAGCAAAATCTCTGGTCTTCTGTTTTTTGTTTATCGGGTTTTTTGTTAAGATACTTTTAAACTTTTATTGATAACAAATGTGTCTTGAAGAATTCATGACTAGACTAAACCTTTTGGCAAAACACAAGGAAGAGGCAGGAATAAGAATGGTTTACCTCAAAAAAAAAAAAAGTTGATAAAGCCAGATGGACTATTTTCTCAGAGTGAAACTTTAAATTAGTTGAAAGGATATATAGTAAAAAATACAGAAAACAGTTTAGACTTATTAAATTATTTCATATCCATAAACTATCAACACTTTCACACAGGCTTGTTGCATGAACAGAATATGGCAAAAATGAGGCTACTTACTTTCATGGGAATGGCTGTAGAAAATAAAGAAATATCATTTGACACAATGCAACAGGAACTTCAGATTGGAGCTGATGATGTAGAAGCATTTGTTATTGATGGTAAGAGCTGTAGTAACACACTTCACACAATGCTAATAAACTATACCTTTTAGTCTTGTAAGCTTGTGTTAAATATTAAAAAATTTGTTCTTAAGATATAGCTGTAAAAATTCATATTTAGACATGTTCAATTGTTGACTTTTAAACTGTTTTCTTTTCAGTGACAGGAAGTATATTTCAAACAATTCTCTTCAGAACTAATAAGTTGTCTGCAGGTTTAATTTGTCATCTGTTTTTGCTTGCTGTCATTAAAAGAGGATGTGTTTGTAGGGGAGAGGAGCTCAAAAAAAAAAAACATGCAGGATATTACTTTAGATTGGCACCAAACAATAGGATTCATGCATGACCTTTGTCTTGTTGCATCATTTTGCTTTTCTGCCTACTAGACTGTTAAAACCAACAGCAAAACAACACTAAGGGAACAATTGGTTTTTTTATATTTGTATTGATTGAAGTTTAAAGAGGTTCTTGTACTATTTAATACCTTCTCCCATCTTGGAAATATTGCTCAAAACGGTATTGCTTTTTTGCAGCTGTAAAGACAAAGATGGTATACTGCAAAATAGATCAGACACAGAGAAAAGTAGTTGTCAGGTAAGAAAATTCTTCATAGCATTTTGCAGAACTTAGTATGTTCCAATTATTTCACTTAAGTTTGCAGAACATCTTAACTAGAAGCAAGGTATTGTTCCTTTCAGTTGCCTGTAGTTAAATAGTTGCTATTTATCATAATTTTATTAAAGCTCAGACTGAATGTGATTAGCTTATTTAATGAAAGAGTCCTATTTTCCAGCACATTTCATTTAATGACCAAATAGTGACAAGAATACTAATGACTGCTGTTGCTTTAAATATTTAGGAAGGCTACAGAATTCTGTAACTAGTAAAATGCAGACCTTTATATGGAGAAAATCCCCCTATTATGTGCAATAGTACAATAACACTTGAAAAGAATTAATAGGTAAGCATTACACTTGGTAATCCTCTTCCAATTTTGTTTTACTTCTCTAGTCACAGCACACATCGGACTTTTGGAAAGCAGCAATGGCAACAATTGTATGACACTCTAAACACCTGGAAACAAAATCTGAATCAAGTGAAAAACAGTCTCCTCAGTCTCTCAGACACCTAAACAAAAAAAAAAAAGAAAAATCCACCTAGAAATGTCTCACTCTACATTAAATTTATTCGAAACTTGGACAATTTGTGAATGTTTCCAAAATGTATGCAATTGGTTTAAGAAAATTAAATATTCTAACTTGCAACACAAAAAAGCAATAAAACTAACATGGGAAAATCTCTTCTCTTAATTTCCTTATACAATTAGCAAAAATGGACAGTGACAATATTGGTTGTTTCTTTTGGTTGTTGTTACTCAAGTTTACACAATAAGGATCTTTCTTTGCACAAGGTAGGGAGGGAGAGAGATCAGAAAAATGATAGTGCAAGCAATTTTGAAGTGAAAATTTCTATTAAACCATAAGGGAGGGAAAATGTGAACCAGTTAAAGTGAAACCTTATGAAGCAATATCTGCTGCTTTTCTCTCTAAATCACACTTGATGATTTAGTGTTGAAAGAGGCGTTATTTAGATAGCATCAGCTACAACAGTTACAGTTAAATGATTGAAGTCTGCAGTAAAGGTAAGCAGATTTTCTTGTTTTGCTGCCACTTAAAAACATTTGTAACAACTTCCAGCAATTCTAGGAACCATTCTTGTGAAACAGTTGCTACTGCTTTTGTTTAAAAGCTGAAGGAGCAGTTTGGCAGAGAAACATTGAAGTATTTCAGCCAAAACTTTTCAGGAGCAGGAGATTATTTACTCTTAGTATTTTAATACCACTTAAATATAAACAATTATTTAATTTGTAAACACTTTAACTTCAGGCAAAAACCATAATAACTTGGATTTGATGGCATAAATATACAGAGCTCATTTTCTTTAGTAATTATATCCTTTTTTAAAGAAAAAAACTGTGTTAAAGAAAGTGTAATACATACACACTTTGTTCTATAGGAATACCTCTACAAATCTGGTTTACAGAAGTGATTGATCTGTACCTAAGACAGTCACACCTGCATTTTCATCTCTCACCACTGCTCTTTATCCACTTTCTTCATACTTTCTCTTTCTTGATGAATGAAGTCTTTCCAAATTCAAGAACTTCTCTATTTCTTCTATTTGATTTTTTATATTTAAGTTCTGAGTAGAACATCTGTCCTTATCTCTGAGTGCACTTTCACTTATTACTGGAGTTACAGTCATGTGTGAAGACTTCTGCTCATGCTGTAAAACAGCAAATCCTTCTTTCACTTGACAGTACAAATCTAGCACTTAATACAGTGAAATTCAGATACAAAGATTAAAATCGTCAAATTTTGCTAAGCAGTAAGCAAACGTGAGTAGAAGGGTAAATCAATTTGAAAAATATATTCAACTTAAAGCTTGCTTTAGTTTTAATTTATAAAACTTGATAATGCTAAATCTACTCTTAAAATAAAAGTTAAGACTTCGTACAAAACAGTATGATGTAAAAATAAAAAGAATGACTGACAACCTTGCACTAGAATGCAGCTTAGCAAAATAAATAGTTTAATTAAACAGTTTAATGTTGCAATTGACATTTCTATTGCTATGCAATCACTTGATTAACAAAACCCAAAGTCATGAGGCTTACAGTGTTAACTCCCTCTCTGTTTAGCTTTATTGATTAGAGTGCAAACACCATTAACTGAAGCAAGGTCTGTAGTTGGTTGGTTTTGCCCATTAAAGATCTTTCTGTTCTTTGAATAGGTTTAATTACTAGGTGATAGGTACTTCATATCTTTCCAAATCAAATGTGTATTGCAACACAATAGCGAAGCAGTTTTTTGCCTGAATGACAGTCTATTCTTGTTGACCTCAGCAAAAACATGTGCAGTCCAACAGTTAAGTCTAGTAGAATAAAACTTAGCTATTTGTCCTTCTTTTCTTATGTAGATGATGATTACTGTTAAAGGAGGTAGGTCAGACTAACCAGCCATTAAAAACTGGCATTTTGGAATTGTGCTGATTATTTTTCATAGGAAGAATAACCACAATGAAGTCTCTTTCAGTATGATACCACTGCCTATGTGCTGAATGTGTGCAAAAAAAAAAAAATTACTACTTTTGGAGGAAGCTTGAAGTGTCTCAATCTCAGCTCTTGGGTGTAATACCATGGATTCAGAGTTTCAGTTATTAGTTGGAATTGATTTGCTGCAAGGAATTAACACAAGTTTAACAACTTATGTTCCATCTCTCTGGGTTACCTTTTAGTCGTATTATTTTTGTGGTCAGTTTAGAACAGCAGTGCTGGATTTGACTGCAGGGGGGAAACACCACCTTTCAGGTGTTTTATACCTTCAGTAGGTAGAACTCCACCATTTAAATAGTGATTTTAATCTAAGACATTTGACACTAGGTACTAGGGGAGCAAAACACTCCTGCAGCCTGTGTAGCTTGTGGCTGGCAGGTAACAGTTAAGAATATAACCTGCTCATGAAACTAGAACTCAACTATTAACTGTCAAACCAGAGGGCCTCAGGCAGCTGAGCTCAGTGCTGGGGCAGGCTCTTGGGGAGGCATGTGCAGCACCAGCCACCTGCCAGGGAAGTTACAAAGTACCTTACACAGACAGAGCCAGCAGTGCAGCTGCGCTTGAGGATCTGCAACATAGCACTCCATCAACAAAGAATTAGAGGTTAAAGTTGTTCTTCCATTACAGAGATACTGAGGTGAGGCCTCCCCTCTCTGCTCAATTATTTTTGAATATTAGGCAACTACCCGCTAAGTGATTATAAGCCATACAGTTGTCAGGCCTACCTTTATTTTAACAAAGATGAGAATTATTTGTTTAAAAAAAGTTTTGAAGAGGCAAGCTTTGTAGTGAGATAGCATATCACTAGCAGAGCTGATGATTAGAAAATTTTTCTTCACTAATGCACAAGCAATTTCATGAAGATTGAGACATGAACAATAGATTTCAAGCAAATTGTTGACTTAGCCTACGTTATCATGATCTGATACTTCCTGATAGAAATGGAGAATACACCAGTGTTATTGAACTGAACTAACTTCTTCATCTGAGCAATAAAATTTTAATCTTGTTAATTCCTGTGGCCATATTGTACGTTCTCCTATGCTCTTTCCCAAAGCCTCAAAAACAACATGTCATTGTAGGCCACTAGGCAAAATTTCTATTCAGTAACACATGGGGCTGTATCTGTGCTGTACTAATTAGCTGAGAGAAATAATTTTCATTTAGCTATTCTACATTTGGTATTTCTAGTGAGAGAAAGTCATGCCACTATACTAGGATTTTATCTGAGGAGTACAAGCATTTAGACCTCTTTGGAGAAGTAATTGCAATTAGATAAGCTATGTAGTATTTGAATAAAATTCTGTGACTGTGGGTTTAGAATATAAAAACAGCTTTTCTAAAAAGTCATCTGTTAAAGTCCTCAGGCTTTTTCATAATATAATACAAGTAAGTAAAACAATGTGTCTTACTGACAGCACTGAACAGTAAGCCAAGTTCTGTTTAATACAGTGGGACATGTATGCACAGAAGTATTCATTGCTGAATAGTATGGCTGCATCATTAGGGACGTATGTTTAAAGGGACCTGAGGATGCTTGTGCATCCTTACCTTGGTACTCAGGTATGTATAGACTAATGATGGAAACCTTTCTTCATATTTTTGCTAGGACTTGTCAGTACACATGTAGCTTTTATTTTCCTATCACTTTTTACAGTAGTATATTTTAGTTGAATGAGATTATCCACATTATAGAAGGCTAAGACTGCTCTAAGTTACAAACATACATACTAGTCAAAACAACTAAACTGAGCAGCAAAAAGGGCTGCTGAGCCTATTTTTAATCTCCCAATAGCCTTTTCATATCAGTCATAAAAGTGGCAAATTTGAGAAAAGACAGTATTAGAATGATACCACACAGAAGGGAATGAGTGGTCTGCAGAATCCCAGGCTGAGACTTCATAAAGCAAGTATTTTGAAATCATTGAAGGTCAAATCAGCAAGGCGCTCTGTTCTTGTCCATCTCAGCTTTTACTTAGCCTGCACGTAAGGAGCTTTAATTTGGAGATGACGAGGTACGTATAACCACAATCAGATAATGAAATACAGCATTTTAACTATTTGTAGATTTGGTAATTTAGTCCACTTCTTTCCAAAAGCTCTTAGCTGGGAAGCAGGGAGAGCAAGCAAGGGAGAATGGGAAAAGACTTCTAACTGATCTCCACCTCAATGAGAAAAAGCAAAAGAGAGCACTGTAAATACCATCATGATTGTGCTTGGTGAAGTGAAAAATACTACTCGCTATCATTCCCAGTTAGTGTTACATTAGGAAAGTTGAGTGATTTAACAGCATCAGCCTTTCCTTTTGAATTTCAGAGAACTTGAACACTACTGGCACTGAGGATAATGGATCCAATCCATTGAAGTCAGTCCACTTTCTCATTTGAAAACACTGTAAACCCTGACCTCAAACTATATCCAGAGGAGACAGCCATAACTACCTGAGAAACTCCTCTAGAGCCACTTCTGAAAAGGAAGGTCCATTGCAATTGTAAATTATTATATCACCCTTTAATACTACGTTTAGCATTACCTTTTAATCAAGGTCAAATTCTAATAAAGCAGTTGTAGCTGTTCAAGTTATGAACAAGGATGACGTTTAACACAGATCTAAAAATGCAGTATGAGTTACTGACAGTGTCATCTGAATGAAGCTGTCTTCAAACAGCGGGTTTCCTTTTAATTCTCTACTTTTACACATGTTCAGGTAATGTCATTACACTAAATAATAAGATAACTTTTAAAATACAGCATGGCACAATTGCAGCTGAGAATAAACTAACTGATAGGCTCTGATTCATAAATACGCTAAATTTTTAGCCTGTGACAGATTCTTTTAAATAACATGCCCCTATCGAATAATAAAGGAAACAATGTTTTTATATGTTTACAAAATATTTAATAAAAATAATCACCTACAGAAAAATAGTAAAAATTTTAAGAAGGTACACAGTGAACTACCCTCTTTCTCTCCTCCCCAATATACTGGTTAGCATCCGTTTGATTCATATGCTGTGACTTTTTCCTGCTGCTTTCTATCAACCCTAATTGTGAAAAATGGTGCCTTGTTGCCCTTTTGATATTATTTTGGAGATTGACTCAGCCTTAAAGTATCCAGATGCGTACAGTTGTACAAATATCTGTGGAATTAGCTCACTGAGGTCTGGTCCGCAATATTTTTAATTGACTTACATGTTCTGTGGGAAAAGAAGAATCATAAAAAGTCTTTACTATAGCATTCCATTCTTCACTAGGGTCTCCCTGGGGGTCTTGGTGGATACTACAGATATTCAAAGTGTCGGCAGCTCTGTTGAAACTGGTAGAACCTGATTGACAAAAAGGAAATGGTAACAACTGCAATTTAGTCTCTAGGCAATAACTGTAAATTAAGTAAACTTCTGGTTTACCTCTGATCTTAAAAAAACAAAAACAAAAACAAATGTTTTTGTTTTAAATCACTGAATCTCTGTTGCAGGTTTTTCCCTCTTCATTTTTTTCGTTCACATACTTCTGCATCTATTTTTGTCTCTGAAGATGATGCAAGTTTCCATTCTGATTATAGATGTTGAAAACTTTTTCACAATTAAATTAATTGCAAATTAAAATTGTGATTTATAGAAACATTGTTTTCTGAACATTCTAACTCAGTAAATTTTTTTTCCAAACCGTGCTATTTTATCTGTACATCACCTTCTGATAAAGATAGTGAAATACATAATTACTGCCATCCTGACATCATATTGCAGGGTGAGTTGTTATAATAAAAAAAGACATTCTAAATATGAAGGTATTTAGACAGATAAAGAACATCTTTTAGATAAGACGTCTTTCTGTAAATGGATATCCCTAACATTTCATAGTATCAGGCAATAGCTATCTACCAAAGGTAGAACGGACAAATAAGCAGATTAACCAGAGCTGAGAATAAGGTCCCAGTCCTGCAGTGACTTTATGCACTGTTAGTAGACTCTACTAAAACCAATATCAAATTCTTTGCAAGATCAAAACATAAGTGTACTTTCAAAATTACTCATAATGCAAATAGTAGCTGTTATGCCACTAAAGATACCTGTCAGTCATTGCTATAATAGTAAAATAATTACCTTCATATGAAAATAAGTATACTTAACTAATGTTTATGTAGCAGAATTAAGAGTACTGTCATTTTCTCTTTTGGGGGAGGATAAAAAGGAAGGTAGCCGTAGTTTTGGGTTTGATTTTTTTTAAATAGAAGTAAGTTCTTCAGGAAGATCTTGCCCATTCCTCCATTAACACGTGTTGTTTCTGCTATCCAGAACCAGTGTTGTTGTTTAAACAGCAAATTACATTGTGGTTAGGCAGTAAAAGGAATTCCTTCAGATAGACTTACTGAACCCTTTTACCAATTCTCTCTACCTTAGCTAATCCAGAAAGCAATTGGTAATTTAATCTAGGTCCCCCCGCTTATGGCTAAAGTATTTATGCTTCAAAGTACAATTTTTTTTTCTGTTTTTTGAGATGTTGCGTGGATTCTTCTCGAGGTTTACCATCTGGCAAGCATTTGGAAAAAAAAAAAAAAGTCTTGGATGTTGCAGTGCTGAGTGTAGCAATGATTAACTCTGCTGAGATATTTTTACCCTCTAAGAAGAGGCAAAGGATTCAGAGAAGCTGAAGTAGGAACCTATCTAAATTAGCCAGTATGATGACAGGGAGAGGCAGATCTGGGTCCCAGCCCAAGATCTTCAGTTATGAAGCTTTGCCAGAGGTAAAAGAGGCCTGGTGACCATTACTGGTCACTAGGCAACTCATCTGGGGAATGAGGATCATACTCAAACCCTCACTGGCTGAACTCTGCCAGGCTTCAGCTAAATTTCCCACCTTTTTTGAAACTGTTCTAAATTACAGACCTTGCTAGCTCCTGTGGGTGAGCCTCTGAGACTCACTTCTTGGAATTACTCTATTTTGCCTACAAAAAGGTTTCTGACAAGAAAAGGAGGAAGAACACAAGAGCTTCAGACAGTGCTCTGTCTGTACTTAGAGAGAAGATACACACAGAACAGCACATAAGCATGCATTCATTTTCTTGGTGAAACAGGTATCAAAATTCACATTCTTAAAAGAAACAATGTACCATCTGAGCTCATGATTCTGCTTCCTTGCTGTCACTACTTGTTTTGGGGATGAAGGCTCATCTGAAACCAAACTTGGAAAAAAAGTATGTATACAAATATACATAGGCAAGAGGCCAACTACAGAAACAAAATTACCTATATTCCTAACAGCAAAACAATATAAGGAAATCAGACTGCAGGTGCTCTATCTCACTGCCACCAGCCACAAAACTAAGGGACGGGGTCCGTTCTGCTCTTAGGAAAACTCACTCAAGCGGTGAAGCTCAAAAACACTAAAAACATCAGCAAAGCCTCAGAAAACACCATATATTGTGGATCTAGTTATTTTGAAAGACATTCGAGCATCCAAAGTTCCATTCTTCTAAGAAAACAGGGTCTTCCAGAGACCACCAGATAATCTGCTTTTTCAAGCTTACAGCACATATGCATTAAGAAAAGAATCTGCAGACAATCTTTATTTTGAGAAGGAAAAACACTACCTGAACAATTTTGATTGTATCCCCTTACTGTGGGAGAGAAACATTTGGAAAGGTACTGAAGTCACCTTACAGTGGAAATAGAGATATTTTCATTATTTTGATTGAGTTTAAAAATAGCACTTTTAGTAAAAAAAAAAAAAAAATATATAGAGGTAATCTAGCAGTTTATTGCAAAACAAATCTAAAATATAGTTCTTCCATATTTCAGTATGGATTTAGAAATACATGGAACAAAATTCATTTTGCATATGCAAAATATCATTCAACAACTAGTCACCAAATGCCAACAACAGAATATGAAAAAGCATCTCAAGCACTAACAGCCAGGTCTGTTTCCTAGAGCTTCAAAGAATGTAAATTTCTTTCACACATTCACCACATTCAGATAGTTCTAAGTGTCCATCTAAATTAAAGATGTACAATAAAATAAGCAATAAGCTTTCTCTTAAGACCAATTCAAGAAAGCATGTACTGGTTCAAAAATTACCCCAATTTTTATGCAAAATAAGGGCACTCAGCGATTTCCAAAAGGTGCCCAATGATTTTCAGATCATATGCAGACCCCTGATAGAATATGCTCTACATTGGAGTTAGAAATGCCTACAAAAATTCAGTTTGTCACTGCACTGCTTTTCTTTTATAAAGGGAAGTAAGAGAGAAAATTTATTTAATCAGATAGTTGAGCAAAGAAAAGCTGTTTAGCTGCATTTATACTGCAAATTAATTTAGACATCTCATAACATCTTTCAGATTTCTGTTTTTCCACATAACTAAAATATCATTTTTCATTTTTGTATTACACTAATATTTCTAATATTACACTAAATTGCTTACATGCAGAAATTTCATATTTTGAAAAGTTTTCTAAAGATATCGAATACATACTTCAAAACACAAAGGACTGTCTTTCTTACCTAGTCCTGTTTCTTTCCTGACAACACTTTCACTGAAATTTTGACACTGTGTTTTTAAAATAATCTTTCTGTTTTCTGCCAGATCTGGTAGTTTCTCTTTCAAAAGGGAAGGTTCTTTGGGAGTCCGCACTGTTTGACTTCTCAGTTGATTTACTTTTGAACAAGGACTGAGGTCTAAAAAATTTAAGTATGCTGGAGTTTTCTCAGCTTTTTTATCTGAAATTGAAAGATCAAAGAATGACCTTCCACTTACATTTACTAAATTTCCAGATGTTCTCATGGGTAAAGAGCATGATTCTTTCAGGTGACCCTCAGCAAACTTACTTCCTGAAACTGTACTATTTAGAGAATCTTTTTTCTCTTTTAACATTGCATTATTTATTGAATTGTCATTAATCTCCAGGGAATGTCCCTTTTTGATGGATTGTATCTGAGTATCATTATTAACTTCTTCACATGGTATTAGTTTATCTGTACTACTTCTGTCTGTTGAGGTTTCCTTATGAACGATTATTTCAAGATCATCAGCATTTACTGTAGAAAAGTTTTCAGCATTCAAAGCACATGCATTTGCATTACTTTCAGTTTTTTCAGTACTGGCTTGTTCAGGTTGATTGTTTTGCATGTCATTCACACTTATTCCTCTATCTGCTTTTGCAGATAAACTGAAAGAACTTATGAGAGGCCTATTATTACAATGGTCTTTTGTGATGTCATCACTGCTCACATTATCACAATAAACAGTGGGTAAATTTTCAGCATCGGCTGCTGGAAAGCCAATACTCAGTAGTGCATCATTTCTGCTTATGTTTCTGGCATTGTCATTGTAATTTCTCTCTTCAACATCTGTATGCTGCTGCTGTTTAAACAGAAATGTATCCGTACGTGAATCACTCAGACTTAACTTTTTTTGTTCTGTTTCATGTAACCTGTTATCTACATAATTGTCACTGGCCGGCAAGCTACATTCCTGGTATTCTGCCTGATGATCATCTTTAATATAAGATAGGATACCAAAATTTAATTCCTTAGCTTGATGACTGTCTGTACTTTTCTCAGGCCCAGCATTCTCCTCAGTCCTAAGAACCACTTCAGACTCTTTGTTGGGTCTTTCAGTCATAAGGACATTTTTGTTGTATTGTATGATATTTGTCTTTTTGTCTGCATTAGTGCAAACTGATTCATCTGTAGCATTGCCCAATTCTTCCTTGCTGGAATTTGTCTCCTGACTTGCATTCTTCTTGTAGACACCCGCTATGTCAATACTGTCTAAAAATACCTTTCCAGTTTCCATGTGGAGTGCTGCCACTTGATCAGTGCTGTCCTGTAGCTTATGTTCTAAACTTGCTTTCTTTTCCTCCAGTAGCATTCTGGGGATCGTTCCTAAACGTACTGCTGCTTTGCACTCAGTGACACATATTTCCCAGGCCTGTCCTTGGGTAATTAAATCAGTATCTGTGCAGAGGGTGTTCCTGGAAGAAGCCTCCCTTTGCTTTTCTTCATAAAGGCTAGCAACATTAACTTCATCCTTACAACTGTTTTCAAGAACTTGTAAAACTGTTAAAGTAAGTGTATTCTCTAGTTAGTGACAGCTGACCCAGAGGTTAAAAAAAGGTTATTTTTACAGTTTAAAGTTTCCAAAAGATGTACTCAACATTGAGACTGATTTTTATGTTACAGTGCAGTAAGTAACATTTATATATATAAACACACACATATAAAATATATACAAGCACATGAAAAAGTTAAAGATAAATATATTATAGTAACTTGCAAAATATTTATGAACTGTTCAAACATAAAATATATTAATATTCATTATATTTTAAGTATGGATTATGATAGTTAAAATTTTTCCCACCTGGTAAGTTAGCCTTATTACTGAAAAATGTCTTCATATACTTAATAACTCAGTACTTAATAACTCATTATGTATTTCTTCCTCCATGAAGTTTAAGTCACTGGTCTACTACTGCAATTGTATGTGTCTTTCTTTTTGAAAAAGAAAGGTATTTTAGAAAAATGAAAAAAAAAAAAAAAACCTATTTAAGGGACTGTGTTCATACCAAAGGAATATGCTATAACTTGATGGTATTGGGATAGTGAGGAATAACTGAAGCATTTCGCTATGAGAAATATTTTCTGAAAACATAGCTGAAGGCTAAAAATCTTTTTAAGCAGTAACGAATTAGGTAGTTAATAAGCTCTTAATTTTCCTCTCACTGTTGCTACATTTTAGTGACTGAGCATTAGAGCCTGAGTACATTTTCTTTAGGTAGCTCCAAAATATTACTTACTGGAGCTATAAAGTGCTTTGTATAGAAATGTATTATGATTATGCCCAGGAACAGACCCTTCATTGTCCTGTGCAGTACAACCAACAACCACTCTCTTGGGCCTTTTCTCATTGGTTTATGAGATGGGGAAAGAGCCTTTCCCTGGTTTTGCTTCTATACGCAGGGTAAGTGTTACAGGAGGAACTCTAAGTTCCTCCTAACCCATATTCAATTCTTGAGCTGGCATGCAGAAAAAGTATTGCAACAGCTTAAAGGGGGACAGCACACAGATCTTATTTAACGTCCCAAGGCAACTCCTAGTAGTACTGTGCTTTCATTCAGAACCTAGAGCACTACTGACACCACAAATTTTACTATCCTTAGGACAAGAACATTTAATTCAGGATTCAGGCATTCTCTTGTCATATACGGTATCTGTAAACATTTATACTTTCATCAACAACACGACTTCTCTTTACTGTCCATGTAACATTATTACTTTGTTCTATCTGCACTTCTTCCTTGCTTAACGAGTAGTCCATTGTGTTTTTTATTCCAATTTCTTCTTCATGTCCAAAAATACTGTCTTTCTTTTTATATTGTATACATTTATTTTCTTTCTGAATAGCTTGTATTTCACCGTCTTTTGATTGCTCTTGATGACACTGGCAAAAAAAGAAACAAAAAATTATACATATTCCAATGGTTTACTACAGTTTCTGATTAGATTTTAACATTCAGGACGTGAACTCTTTTTACATTTCTGATGTAAACCAAAGACCAGTCTTTTGAAGTGAACACATTTAATGTACATACCACTAAAAACAGGCTAACACACTAAAAGAACAGGAAAGAAACTAGGTCATGCTATACTACAGTTCATAGAAAAAAATATATGCAGAATTTTCAGAGGAAGGAATGCATGATCTACATGTGCTGACTGGATCACTCCCTCTGTCAGCAAGCTAAATCAGTGACTCGTTCAATAATTACATAGGAAAAAAACCCTCCACAATTGCTAATTACACTCCAACACATGTGCATACACACACTTGCTAACCACTTAAGAGTTTTTAGCTTAGTTTCGTAGGCAAATAAGGCTTATGAATTCTGCAGTCTCTGTCATCCAGTTCCTCATTGCCTCCCTGATGACTTCTGAACCTGAATTTAAGTGAAATTCAACAGGACTAGAAGCCTAAGAAATGTTAAATTCCATAAAGTTCTCTGAAAACTCTGAGCTGTTCAGTAAAGAAACATCCTAGTAAAAAGCCACCAAAGGAAAGCAAAAGAAAATGCATCCCTTATCTGTTCTATTTGGTAGCCGAAAGGCAGAGAGCGCGCACTGACCCTTGCCTAAAGATAGGATATAAAAGTAGGTAGATGTGGGAGGGAGCAGAGGTATTGCTTAGTTCATAAAAGACACGAGAAAGCTGACGATACTTGGGTGACTGACGGTGTTGGAGAAGGAAGGCTGCGATGTGGGAGGGAGTTACAAGCACTGTGCCTGGGCACAGGATGTGTGGGGAGGATATAATGTGCTACAGAATGGGGAGGGGGGTGTCATAGAGAACACTGGCAAAAAATTGGATTATTGCAATGGTGGGCTTGTAGATGATGTACAATACAAATCTGCAGGAAAAAGTTTGTTTCCACAAGGAGCATCAGGATGTTTCTGTGACCAAGTTTGCTGATAAATGCAGGAGGGGTCTGAAATTACAGTTTTCCTCTGACTGATACCACCTTCAATTGGTTTGAATTTTCTTTCTCTTTTTCTCATGTTTTATTATCATCTCCTCATCATTCTAGTTAGATGCATCTTTTTTATCCACTTTACAAAGCACCGGAAATTGCAGACATTTAAAAATAATGATAGATGCAAAAAATCACTAGACTGACTTAAAAATAGTAAATTTTTTTGTTTGTTTTCTAACTTTTTAATTAGTTTAATTTGCTTCTTAGCTATATACAGCATTGGCATCACATAGTCAAACTTTTTTTTCAAATACAAATACTAGAAATTTACTTTTTCTGTCATGAAAGCTATAATTATTTTATAATCTTTTGCTTCTAGGACCTGGGCTTTAGACAGAAACACCAAATAACCCAGTAAAACTGTGCATGTTACTCTTCTGTAGAGGTATGGAAGAACTTACCCCATTCTTTGGTATGGGCTGAACTGTTCTTAGGAGGAGAGAAACGTTATATAATTTCTCTACTGATTTTCAGAAAGCTGAATATACCTAGTTTCCAATAACTTCAAATGGCTCTTCAGCCCTTTCAAAAATAAGGTCCAAGATGTCTGAATATCAAACCTGAATTTTATTTTAAAAGTTTTGCTTTTGATTTAGTAAAATATAATTAAGTAACATACTTATATCTAAGATGACATTTGCCTCTATAGCATATTTCACATTTTGAAATATAGAATCTTCCCAAAACCTCTCTCTCTATGCACTTATGTATATACACATATGCACGTATACATGCACAAGAATTACAATAACCTGTTGCTAAGCGTAGCCAAGTTCTCTGATGGTACACAGTTGTATTACAGGTGATATTAAACAAAATGTGAAGCATATCATTAAATATATGTATAAATAAAAAGGGGCATAATTACTCACACTTGAATTTGGCTCTGTAATGCCTCCTGACACTGTACCTTTATTTTAAAATGAGCCCCCTGTTTACTTACCATTCCACAAGTTAGGCAAAGAAGAAATTTACATACATGCTAAATTTCATGCCGCACAAATAATCACAGGAATTTCAGATTGAACTAGGTGTAAAAATATATGCATATTTCATTACAACATTGGGAGCCATAGTTAAGATCTAAAACGTATGCTAACAACACAATGTCCTTTTCTGTTATACTAGACTCTTAACTCATTACTGATACAAGGTGAAACGCCACAAATCAGAATAACTGATATAATCTTCCACAGCTCCTGTAATTTTCTGGCAGTTTTCTACTGCAGATTAGACTCCACCTAACCTGTTTAGCTTTTGAAATCTCATGATCATAAAACACAAAGTGGTATGGCAATTTGACATAAGATAATCTAAGATAAAAGTTGGGAAGACACCTCAGATATTTTTTGTGTTTATAAACATATGCTTAAAGCTTATCTTCTTTCAAACACATACATTTATCTGAGTAAGCATGAGTACTGTTTATTGTGAATGACTGGTAGCATGCCTTGGTTCTGCATCCTAAACGTAACATATAGTTCATATTTTATTTTCATTCAAAGAAACAATGATTTTTAAAGTTATACAATTTGCATATAGCTTGTAAAATTGATACAGCTAATTGGGTTGCATCATGAATATTAGTGTCAGGTCTAATTTCCACTGCATTATTAAGAACGTACCAGCAAAGACATGTATGTATACTTTGTGTGTGTGTGTGTGTGTAAAACACGTATAACAACACATACACACATATAGTTTGTGTGTTATATACACACACATATATATAGTGTGAAGGACTTCCTTTTATGTTCTTCCAAATTCTAAAATTTTATTATGGTTTGTTGGTTTACTGGCAATTCATAGACTAGCTCATAAAAAAAAAAATCTGATTTACAATCCTAGTCTGTAAAGGTGTCTTCATAACACTGAAGGCAAAATCATGCACATGCAAAATGAATTTTCCCTTCTTTGAAGGGGAAATCATTACTTAAATGACTATAATGAAATATGAAATAAAGAAAAAAAAATGATGGCATAACCAACACTACTCAACCAAACTATAGCATATACTCAATATGTAGG